CTCCTCCACCCTACTGGTTGAAAGTGGAATTACAACTACTGTAAACAACCCTGCAGCAGCCTGCTGTAGCTAGCGCTCCCAACGAGCTAACACTAACATGAGCCAAGTCTCACTAAATAAGCCACTAATCAAAAAGATCCACAGTTGGACAGTAGCAGCAAAGCCAGGTCACCATCAGCTGGTGATTGCATGCCTTGTTCAGCTTCCTCAAACTATTGTAGGCCATGCTGATGTTCACTTTGCTATTTGCTCTTTGCTTCACCTCCAAAGACATTACTCTCTTACTTTTACTTCCTGGCTGTGCCATAATGCCAACAGAAAAGCAAACACATTGTTCTGCTTCTTGTGCATTTTATTGACGATCAGCAAAGTGAAAAAGCTACATGCACAGAAAATAGCTAACAGCCATAATGCAGGTATAAGAGCACCCCCTAGAACACCTACCCGCTCCACAGTATCTGGCCATCAGAGGGTTGTAGATTGGTGTCAGGTATGAAACTGGTCAAGTTCCTAACTAATCAAACACTGAGATCAATAAGTGCTTTTCTAAACATGACACTTTGTTGGTTTAACTTTTCAACCTGTTGTAATTTGCCCTGACAGATGTATTTTTTCTAAATAAGTAAAAGTTTCAACATCAGCTTCTAATGTGAGCTTGCTGAAAACGTACCATTTTCTAGTCACCTTAAACCCAACCCAAACGAGGGTTGGGTTTTTGTCCCCCTGAGACCTGATAAGGGTTAAGATGCTGCTGCTTAGACAGGATCCAGCTGAAACTGTTCATCCTGGTGATAAGGATTCCTCCTCCTGAGCACATCTGTTTTATTGGTAAATGGTAAATAGCTTGCATTTGTAGCACCTTCTTAAGGTTCTACAACCCCCTCCAAGGCACTTCACAACATAATCGTCATTCACTCACACATTCACACGCTAGCGGGGATGAGCTACAATGTGGCCACAGGTGCCCATGGGTGCACTAGAGGTGAGGCCTGCCGAGCACAGGCACCACCGGCTCCTCCGACCACCACCAGCAGGTGAGGTGTCTTGCCCAAGGACACAACTGTTTTACTCTACATGGCCCACTGGGGGCCTCTGACTGGCAGAAGTAGTTTAAATAAGGAAGAAATAATCTTTGGAATTGTGTGAATGTAAAGTTTAATTCATCCTTTTAACATAAAAACAAGCAATCCAGAGCTGTTAGTTAAAAAAAACAGAATTGAACACATTGAAATACAATAAAAGTTATTTTTAAAACGATTGAATTCTCTTTATTTGACTTCATTTCCTTTTTTTAACCCAACATTCCTCTGTGCGGCTGCTGAGCTTCATGGAATTAAAAACACATGGTTATTTTTCTTCCTTGACACCTCGCTGGAGTTTTCTAGTCTTAGTTTGCATCTGAATGAGTATGAAATTACAAACCTTAGCTGTAGGAAGAACCCCAGCAACAATAAAGATAAAACAGCAGTATGGTTTTCTTATAACAGGAAGGTTACGCTAAAATCTCTTTAGGCTTTCTGGTCTGCTTCTTTTCTGCACCTTTAACTTGCCAAACACCAAATGCCTCTAGCAGCTACACATTTTTACAGTCATAATTTAAAATAAAGTTGTTTTATTGTCTATAATATGGTCACATTGGCAAATGCATGTTTTTAGTTTTAGTTTTTTAGATGTACATATAAACACACTGACTAATGCATGTGCTGCAGCGGAGATCCATGTCATCTGATCTAATCTGGGGGGGCTGTAGACAGGCTGTCTGGCCTTCTGTGTCTATTTAAATGGACACACGCACACGCGCACACACACACACACACACACACACACACACACACACACACACACACACACACACACACACACACACACACACACACACACACACACATTCAGGAATGTATTCGTTAACACCACACGCACTGTCAGAGTCTATTTTACCAACAGTGTGAGAGAATGTAGACTCCACAAAAGGGCGAGCAACAGCTAAACCAGTAAGAGAGTAAAATAAACTACCTGGTTTAATAAAAACATCAAGGTTTATTATTCAGTGTGGCTGCTTCTGTTATAGACTAACAAGATATTTCCCAGCAGTTTTTCATTGATGATTAGGCCAAATATTGGCTTCAGATTCCAGATCATTTGCAAATGCTAATCTATTGCTGACTTGCTATTTTTAATGTAGCATGTAGACCTTCGACGCAGTTTTTACTTGCTTATTAATAGTTATCAGACTATTCCCCCTCCCCTTGTTGATGTGCACATTTGAAACATTACAGCTTTCATCACATTAGCATGCTAGTTGCACCACATGGGTAATTAGCATCAGCTGCATCAAACTCTGTGCTAATGCAGCTAAATTTGTTTCCAAAGCAATTTCTCAAATCTTTTTTTCCCAGCCAGTATTTACGCACAATAAACCCACTCAGAATGACTTCTTACAAAAAAACAAACTGACACTCAGAGGATTTATTTTTACCACAAAACATTGCTAAACTACTATTAGCATCTCAGTAATTTTCTGCAGTGGAAGCGATTGATAGAGCCATCACTCCTTGTGCTTGTGTTTACGTTTACTAAGAGATGCACTCCCAGTAAAAATAATGTCCACCCTGGTTCAGCCTTAGAGTCTTACACTTCTGGGCAGAATAAAAACAAGCTGCTTAAAAAGTGATTCAAGTCCAGCCCACACACAACAGATTCTGTCATCTTTTTGCATTTTTTAAATTAAAGCAAAGTGAAATGGCGTTTGTGAAAAACCGAGTTCACCCAACTGCCGTTAACCGTCCTCTAGCAGCGACAGATTTCAGTCGTTCTTGTCTGTTTGACTTTATCATCTCTCACACATTATGGAGACATTTTGACAGTAGTTTCTCTTTCAGAAAGTCCCACTGCATTTCTGTCAAGTTGATCTCCAACTTTGCAGAACATTGATTCTTTTACCTTTCATGAGTTCTGCTGTAGGTTTGCTGCTATGTTTTGTGTCGTGGTTCTGTTTTATTACCCCCATCTGGTCCAGACACCAGCTGTAAGACAGGTGGACTCATGGACTCTAAAACTTGGGTCTACAGAAGTCTTGGGTCTACAGAAGTGTTCGTGGAGGACTCAGTTGCTTCCCAAACCATCACCCCTCCAGCACCGTGCTGACAGCTGGTACCAGCTATTTTTGCTGATGTGTTTGGTTTTCACACAGAATTGTGAGCATTAACTGTTGCTTTTCTGAAATAGCGAAGTCAGCCTTTCTTGACATTGTGCTGCTAACACACACTTGTATGCTCCAAACCAGCAAAGTAAGAAACTTCCAGCTTTTATCGAGGGGTTGCTCCGTTGACGATCGGGTAACCCCCCCCCCCCCCCCCCCTTATTTGCTTGATGCGTTGTTTAAGTTGTTGTGTAAATTCACACATTATACAGATTTGTTATGCAGCAAACATCCATCCATCCATTTCCTGAACCCGCAGTCCATCTCAGGGCAACACAGAGACACACAGGAAATACAATCATGCACACACACTCACACCTAAGGACAATTTGGACAGACCAATCAACCTAACAGTCATGTTTTTGGACTGTGGGAGGAAGCCGGAGTACCCGGAGAGAACCCATGCATGCACAGGGAGAACATGCAGACTCCATGCAGAAAGATCCCAGGCCGGGAGGCGAACCCAGGACCTTCTTGCTACAAGGCAACAGCCGCAGCAAACATACAACAGAAACTATTTTAAAAGACTTTTTGCTAATAAAAGACGAATGATAACAAAGCTGAAGTGATTCAAAGACAGTGAAGCTCAGGCACATTTTGGACGAGTTTGCATGGTGACAGGCCTAATTGTGAAGTTATGCCTAAACATTTTAATCATGATCATATTTTCAACTGTTACTCTAGACATTCATGAACTTTTTTCCTCTGCATTTCCTAATCCAGGGGTGTGGTTGAGTTGATGTTTGGTTTTCAGAGTGAATGCCCCTGAAGAACCAGCGTGGTCGCTAAAATCCAACGCCATTTCTCTTAGCTGAACAGGAGCTGGTGTAGCTCGTGTAGTAAACACAGAAACGGGCTGCCAGTTTGTATTTGGTGTTCAGTGTTTGCTCAGTTTACCATGACGATTGTTTTTAACTCAACATGTAAACGCTCCAGAACAAATCCACTCCTCCTAATCACTTAGTTCAGGTTATTTGCCTCCATCCATGGCTTCAAAGGATGTGGTTCTCTCAACCACACAATTAGAAAAGACTACTTCCTGCAGCGCGGATTGGCTGAGAAGAGACTCCTTTGTCTCTCATTGTAAACGTCATCGCTGTGACATTTCCTGTTTGGTCTGTTGTCCAGGATAATAGATATCTAGTCCTCCATCAACTCCTTCTTTTCCTCCAGAATGTGAAGCCATTCTTCTTCTGAAACATAGTTTTAGCCACGTCAATAATGCTTGAGATGAAGTGATTACTCTCACATGGTGCAACACAGCTGTCCACCACTGCAGCTCTTTACTGATGCAGATCAACCTATAAGTCCAATGAGTCTGTTCTGTCCAGTAGTAAGTCAGGAGCTTTGCATTAGGATTACCAGATGCATCAATACGGTCTGACTGGAGAGCCTGTAGCCTGACAGGAGATCGATAAACGTGACAACAGAAGGGCCGACTTTAGGGAGCTGAGGCTGTTTACAGTAATAAGGACACTTAAGTGTGGAGAGTGTGTGGGGGAGGCTCTTTGTGTAGATACATGTTTGTGTTTGAAAGTGGTCTGAATTTATTTAGCCGTCTGTTTATCTGTGATCACCTGAGGGCAGGTCGCTGGATAATTTATTACCTCCTCTACATTTACAGAAGGAATCCTCTCACAGATTATCCTTCCCTCTTCTGGATCCCTTTGTTGTGAGGACTCGTTCATTTTGGTCACAGCGTATTTAAGCAGTTGGTGTTAATAAAAGCATGGATGAAAGTGGTCCACTGTTTGAATAAACAGCAGTATTTTGTTTTTGTTCCTGTCTTGTGTGTATTTAGATGGATCTGAGGCTGATCCTGATGACATTTGGACTCTTCTTTTGCTGCCATGCTAGTAAAGGTGAGATTTCTGTTTTTTTTTTTTAATAATCTTTTATTCTAGGTCACATAAAGTCATCTTGTCTCATTACTTTTTACTATGTGTAATTTATGGCATTTGAAGGATTTGTGAAAACAATTTAACTTTACTTTTCTAAACTAAAGACGCACATAACTACTGCTTTGCTATTTTTAACACAAAACAAAAATAACCACAAAAACAAAGCATTTAATCACTTTAAAAGGCCTTTCTTTCTGCCTAACAGCTAAACGGGCTTTTATGGTTCACACAGAGGAAAGCAAGCTGCAAATGTGTAGCTAAAAACTCAATTTTATCACATCTGCAAAACACCGGATTTGAGTCGATGCAAACTTCAAACAGCTTACTCAGCCAGTCTTGGGAGCAGGGACACATGTAAAACTTTGTAGAACCTGACCTCAATGCCACTGCTTTAGGTGATAGGATTCTCCAACATGTTACACAAATTGTAAATATTGTGTTTACGTTGTCATTTATCTGATGCTATGAAAAAGTAATTCATGTCTGTTGCATCTTTAATCTGTCAGTGAGCCTCAGGGCAGCTGTGGCTAGGGATGGGTACCGAATTTGGTACTTTTTAAGGTACCGACCGAATTCCATAGTACCGACTGAGCACCAATTCACGTCATTTCAAACGGTGCCTCGTTTCGGTACCCGTCCTTCATAGCGAGAACTTGCCAAGACAGCTGCGCATGCGCATGAGAGTTATGTCGTCGGTCCCTGCGAGCCAGTTGTAAACAGAGCAGCATGGTAGAAAGAACGCACGCTAACGCTTGGGTCCACTTCACTAAATGTGATGGGTAACTGGGTGATGATGAAACCAGTGACAACGATCTAAGTGAGACATCCTTATCTTAATCTGCTCCGGTAGGTAAATAAAATGTGATAACGTTAGCTTGATATGTTATCTTCCGTTTCGCTAATGGTGCGTTCGCTTTCTCCTCGGAACTCCAAATTTCCGACTAGAAGAACATGAACGCGCTCTAAAGTTTGGCTTCACTTTACTAAATAAGATGGGTGATTGGGTGAAGATGAAACCAGCGACAACGATCTAAGTGTGAGGCATCATCGTTTTAATCTGCTCCAGCAGCTAAATAAACTGTTTAAGATAACGTTAGCTTGATATGTTAGCTTCCATTGCCACCGTTGTTATCAGCTAATGGTGCGTTCGCTTTCTCCTCGGAAATTCTAACTTCCCAGTAGGAAAAATCAAATGAAAAAGGACGGCAAAAGGAATGAAGATACACAGTAAATTTAGTTCACAGTAAAGATGTTTGCTTCAGTTTAATTATCAGCTTATAAAACTACAAGGAGGTTGTTAAAATACAAACCGTTTAATGTTATTTATCGTGATATATATCAAATATTATTATATATTGAGAAAAATATATATTTAATTATAAAAGAGAATTAAAATAATAAACACTCAAAAGTATCGAAAATTGGTACCGTTAAGTACCGGTATCGATTCCTAGGTACCCGGAATTAGTACCTAATCGATTCAAATGTCAAAGGTACCCATCTCTAGCTGTGGCTATAACGTAGCTCATCACTACCAGCATGTGAATGTGTGAATGATACACTGTAGTAGCCTAGTGAACTAGACCAAATGCTTGCTTTGCAAAGTTTGCTGCTCCATTGTCTCCAACACACCATCCGCAGAAACTTCATCCTTTTCTCATTCCTGCAGTCCCCATCCTTAACAGTTGCAGCAGCAGAAGAGTTTACAGGAAGTACACCCTTCATAGGCAAATGTAACTAAATTTTAGACTTTTAAAGAACAATACTCAAAGCATGGTGTGTTATTCAGCCCAACTGTGATCACGTCTTGCTGTCTTGTTGTATAGTAAACGGTTTCACACTGACGAGTCCCTGTTGAAGCTTAGTGGACTCATAGTTTCTACAGTTGTATCGAAACGCCCATAAAGATGTATTCTGTGTGTCTTTAATCACTGATGAACAGCAGCGTTCAGGATGAACTGATGTGTAAGCACAGGGGGGGTTTAACTGTGGAGCTTACTCTGCAGGGTCTGGTGCCTCTGACTCTTCTCTTTTTGTTTCCCATCTAGAGGGGAATGAGTGCATCAACGCCAACGCCAAATACTGCGGAGAGTGCATCCAGGCGGGAGCCAAATGTGGTTGGTGCACAGACCCAGTACGTAAATCTAAGCTGTCAGCAGCACTCACTGCTCACTATTGCAGTGCACCCCCTAGCAATAGTGGTGCAACGGATCAAAAATCTCACGTTTCGGATCGCATCACGGTTTTGTGTCACGGATCGGACCGTTTTCGGATTTGTACAAAGAAAAGAAAAAGAAAAGACAAGTAACAAGGCTCTCTCTTGATTTTGTAGAACACACAATTTTTTTCTGCTCACTGCTTATTAAATAAAAATTACATTTAAGTCAATGCAATTGTGTTCTATAATATTTATATAAACGTTAAATGACCTGTATTTGATATAGCGTCTTCTAGAGTCCTGGAACCCCCCAAGGGGCTTTACAACACAATCCGTCTTTCATCCATTCACACACACATTCACACACTGGTGGGGATGAGCTACATTGTAGCCACAGCTGCCCTGGGGGCGCACTGACAGAGGCGAGTCTGCCGAGCACTGGCACCACCGGTCCTTCCGACCACCACCAGCAGGCAAGGGGGGTTAAGTGTCTTGCCCAAGGACACAACAGCAGTGACAAACTGAGCGGGGCTCAATCCTGCAATTTTCCAATTACGGGGCGAGCACCTAACTCCTGTGCCACCGTTGCATGTTATAATGTCAAACATTGTTATAACTGAATGAGACTTACTATCTAGAATGAACATTTCAGATATTCAGTAAGAATGTTCTTATCTACCATGTTCATTTCTACTAGTAACGATAGAATTATTGATATCTGGATTACATATCCAGGCCGCCTAATAAATGTTAAAAAGGCCATCTTGGGTTTTTAGGGATTCTGAGATATCTCAAACACACTTAATTCCAACATCTGCAGTTTATTATGGATATCCTTAATAATTATTTACATAGAAACAACATAGCTGTTGATGTCTTAATTTGCAGTTTTGATTAATGAGCAAACAATTATTACTAGGATAAATTAAATGATATAAAATAGAAATTATAGGGAGGTCCGTTTACTTACTGATTAAATGTTAAAACAGCTTGCCATAGTTCTCTCACTTCCGGCGTGTCCTGTTTACTATCATGCCCTCACCTTTCTGAAGCGCTGTTTGTTTTTACTTCCTCCTTTTTTAAAGAGTTGTCCCCACCAATATTTACAGGTTCTTCACATTAATGTAATAATTGTCCCAGGCATTTTGCGCGGGCCACCTCCCTTCCTGCTTCCATAGCGATGGGAGGTATGTGTATGCAGCGCTGCACCATGTTCGTTTTTGCTGTTTGTGTCATTGTTGTATTATTTTACAGGGATGCCTAAATTATCCCATACATGCGACTTAAACGATTCAGATAGTTTTCCAAGCTCCTTTACTCGTCCGCCATGACGACCGTTGTGCTTTTCTCGTTTGGGTTGAACAGATGGTGCCTCGACCCTTCACGTGACCAATCTGCGGATCGCCTGCATGCCGAGCCGTAGTGAGAGATCTGTTCAGATCACCGATCATCGATGATCCGTTGCACCCCTACCTAACAAGCAGACATGCTAGGTGCTCTTCAGTTTTTGTAATTGTTTTTAATTTTCTTCAGAACTTCCTGAAACAAGGTGAGACCGTGTCGAGCCGTTGTGATGAAGTGGAGTCTCTGATCAAAAGGGGCTGTAACTTGACGCTGATCGAGAACCCTGTTGGAAAACAAAGGGTCCTCAAGAACATTCCGGTCACGAATCGCGGAAAAAACAAAAAATTGAAGCCAGAGGAAATCACTCAGATCCAGCCCCAAAAACTAGACATCACACTCCGATCTGGTGCGAACTCATCTCTGTAACGATATTCATCAGACATCTTCTATATGCCTGTGACATATACAGATCATTACAATGTCATGTTTCACTTAGGTGAGCCTCAGTCCTTTAACTTGACCTTCAAGCGGGCAGAAGATTATCCCATCGACCTGTACTATTTGATGGACTTGTCCTACTCCATGAAGGATGATTTGGAGAATGTTAAGAACCTGGGAACAAGCCTGATGCTGGAGATGACGAAGATCACCTCTGACTTCAGGATAGGTGGGGTTGTGCTATCCACATGTAAACCTAGTGAAAGTGAAAAGCCACAGTCGACATAGAGGAACATCTGTCTTCATCTGAATCCACAGTAGAGAGAAAAGTGAAACCATAATGTAATAAATGATTTTTTCTCCAGGTTTTGGATCATTTGTGGAGAAGACCGTCATGCCCTACATAAGCACCACCCCAGCCAAGCTGCTGAACCCATGCACAGGCGACCAAACCTGCACCAGCCCATTCAGCTACAAGAACGTGCTGAAACTGACCAGTAACGGCTCGTTGTTCAACACCCTGGTGGGTCAGCAGCACATCTCTGGAAACCTGGACTCCCCCGAGGGCGGTTTTGACGCCATCATGCAAGTGGCTGTGTGCGGGGTAAGAGAGAAGATTCAGTCAGATTCAGATTAGAGGGGCATTTTCCTGTCGGTTCGACTATAGCTCACAGTATTACCCACCAATAAATATAAAGATGTGGTGATTTGTGGAAAAACTGTTTTATGAGTTTATGGGGAGGCTTGGATAGTTATCCAACACTCCTGAGTTTGGTGTTTAAAAAGCCAACATAAAGCTGACCAAAATAACTCTTTATTTTGATTATTTTTCATTGTTTTTCAGGATCAGATTGGCTGGAGGAATGTGACTCGACTGCTCGTGTTCTCCACTGATGCTGGCTTCCACTTTGCTGGTGATGGCAAACTGGGTGGGATTGTTCTGCCCAACGATGGAAAGTGTCACTTGGAGAACAATATTTACACGATGAGCCACTATTACGTAAGCAGTTTACGTTTCAGACTGCTTCGTTTACTGTGTCTGTGACTTGAATCTGACTTTTCGCTTTCTCCTTCTAAGGACTACCCGTCTATCGCTCACCTTGTCCAGAAGTTGAGCGACAACAACATTCAAACGATCTTTGCAGTCACTGAAGAGTTCCAGCCTGTCTACCAGGTGAGGGCTTCTTTCTACGGCTGTCTGTTAATTGTAGGAAAACTGTGAACTCCCACCTGTTTTTCCTCATTGTGCAAATCATTTTCTTTTGAGCATTTGCTGGATTTCAAATCTTGAACTAACTACATTTGAAAGATTTGTCACATTTTTAGTATTTCGTTACCAAAGTTTTACAAGTGTGCACCAAAGATCTATCCTCTCATTAAGTGATAGCTTGAATAGTAAAAAGTCAAAGTGACAGTAACAGATTTTAAACATTGAAACTCTCAACAGAAATAGTTCAAAAAGGAAATAAAATATGTTATTTATTATTATTATTAGAATGATTTATTGTGGCAGAAGCTGGTGTGGTCCACCACAGAGAAGCTTCTCTAGCATGCTGACTTTAATTATTCTACAGGTTATTGTTCAGCTTTCTGACGCTCACACACACGCTCACACACACAAGTGTTGGTGAGCGGCTGCGTCTGACTGCTGACGCTCCGTGTGTGTTTTTATTTCTGCAGTGAGACAAACTCACCTCACACCGTCCAGAGTTTGTTCTTTAAAGCTTCTAGTAAATCCACCATGTTGAAGTATTTTAACAAGTTTCCTCTGCGCTGCAGGAGTTAAAGTTTACATTACTGGGTAAAAGTTCAGCAGACGCATTTGTTTATATTTGGGTGGGGGGAGGGGGGACTCGGTGCTGCACACATACAGCCGGTCTGATCAGCTCTGAAAAGCGCTGATCACAATTTGCAGATCGCGTTTATTTTTCTCAGAGATCGGCCACGGATTCCTCTTCCGTCGGCATTCTAGGAGTCGAAACTAGGACTCGAAAAAAAAACTTTGAACGATTCCAGGAAAAACTAACAGTTGGAACCGGTTCCAATCGATGCTCGATGCCTGACAGTCAGCGGGATAAAGAAAACAGAAATGTGTTTAAATTAAACAGAACTAAATCTGAACCAGAATTAGGGATGTTTCAGAAATTACGTTTTTATCTATTTTACTCTTAACTTTTATTTTTATTTTTTTTATTTATTTGTTTATTTTTTACTGTTGTTACCAGGGGTTGTTATGGGTGGGCTGTTCTTTGGTTTAGGTCCAACTGATGTCTTCATCATAGGAAATTAAGATGTAATGTTTTGCAAAGCTCAAGGCAAATTTAAGTACTTAAGTAAACAAACAAAAAAATAAAGTCAAAAACATTAAGCTTTAATGTTAGGATTATCATGATTTTGTGCCACTACTGGGAAAGTGTGTTCAAATACAAATATCCTTCTGAACAAAATTAGTTTTTTTTATGTCTAGGAATCAAATACAGCACTGTCTGCCTTAACTGAGATGTGAAAACTTATTCTTGAAAATGTTTTCCATCCATCCATTTTCCTCTACTTAACCATAATCAAGTCGTGGGGGCAGCAGCCTAAGCAGGGAGGTCCAGACTTCCCTCTCCCCAGCCACTAGGGCTTAGCCTGGCAATCTAGACTAAATAAATATATTATTTAGTCTAAATAATTATAATAAATATTGAGACTAAATAAATATATTATTTAGTCTGGCAACACTCCATTGACGGCTCCCGGTCACGGGGTGGGTTCTACCATTGTCTTTTAAAAGATCGCCGCATGCTATTAGACAATGCACAGCGTGACGTTCTAACCGCAACGGATGTCAGTAAACAAGGCGGTCCGCTGTTGATGAAGGCGAGAATACATCTATTTTTCTAAATAAAGGACTTAAATACAACTATCTGCTCCTGATTCTAATAAAGCCCAAGTCTAAATAGTCCAAAATTTATGTAAAAGCAGTTTCAAATGAGCTGTCGCCATCTTGTTCCACTCTTGTTCAGCAGCATCGTCTCTCCTGCCTCTCCTACAGCGTCCATCCACTCTGTTGCAGACTGTGAGAACTTTCTGTCTTTCTTTGTGGACAAAGTCAATAAGGTTAGATCTAGCATCTCTCCTTCAGCCTTATCGCTGCCTCTCCCGACTCCAACCAGGCCCATCATCCTACATAGCTTTGCTTCTGTTTCTTTGCCTGAGTTAACCAAACTAGTTAACTCTATGAAGACCTCTGCATGCCCCCTCGACATCTTACCCTCAACTTTGTTTCAAAGTGCTTTTCAGTCCATCGGTCCCAGCGTGCTCTCTATAATTAATGCTTCTCTGGTCTCTGGTCAGGTCCCTGCTTACTTTAAGAACGCTGTAATCCACCCGCTTCTTAAAAAACCGAGTCTCGACCCCTCTCTCCATAGCAGCTTCAGACCCATCTCTAAACTTCCGTTCATCTCCAAGGTCTTGGAAAAGGTTGTGGCTAAACAACTCACAGCTGCTCTTGATGAACATAACATCTATGATAGCTTCCAGTCAGGTTTTTGCAGAGCTCATTCTACTGAAACAGCTCTTCTTAGGGTCTCTAATGACCTTCTGACTCACAGTGATGCAGGGGACTGTTCTGTTCTGGTCCTGCTGGACCTGACTGCAGCCTTTGACACTGCGGACCATCACCTGCTACTGGAGAGGCTGAGAGACTAGGTAGGCCTATCAGGATCTGCTCTGGAGTGGTTCTCATCTTATCTTTCGGAGCTCTCTTTTTCTGTGGCCGTCTCCAAGTCTAGGTCCTCCACCACCTCTCTTACCCATGGTGTCCCACAAGGCTCTGTGCTGGGGCCTCTGCTTTTACTCCTCTGTCTGCTTCCTCTTCAGCACATCCTGAGCTCCTTCAAAGGAATCTCCTACCATCTTTATGCAAATGACATCCAACTGTACATCTCCTTTAAGCCCCATGAGATGTCTAAGCTGCAGCTGTTACACACCTGCTTAGACTCTATCAAAACCTGGATGGCTGGGAGCTTTCTTCAGCTGAATGAAGGTAAGACTGAGATCCTCATCTGTGCCCCAGACAAGCTGGTTCCCAAAGTCAGAGACTCTCTTGGTCAGCTTGCTTCTCACACCAAACCTTCCGTCAGGAATCTTGGCGTGACCTTTGACCCGGCTCTCACCCTGGATTCTCATGTCAGTTCTCTTATTCGCTCTTCCTTCTTCCATCTCAGGAACATTGCTAAGCTGAGTCGCATTCTGTCCCGCTCTGAACTTGAGATAGTTATCCACTCCTTCATCTCCTCACGCTTAGACTACTGTAACTCTCTTTTCACATGTCTGAGCAGAACCTCCCTGAACCGTCTACAGGTGGTTCAGAATGCCTGTGCTCGGCTTCTGACCAAGTCCTCCAAACACACCCACATCACCCCGCTTCTCCTCCAGCTTCACTGGCTGCCACTCAACTTCAGGGTTCATTTCAAGATCCTGGTTCTGGTCTATAGGGCCTTACATGGACAAACACCATCTTACATTGGTGATCTTCTTAGTCCCTACACCCCCAGCAGGTCCTTGAGGTCCGGTGATCAAAGCCTACTGGTTGTGCAGCACCAGGCTAAAGACCAAAGGTGACAGATCATTTGCTGCTGTGGCCCCCAGACTCTGGAACTCTCTCCCCCTGAGCCTGAGATCAGTGGACTCAGTGGTCTCCTTTAAAAAGCAGCTGAAGACTCACTTGTTCAAGCTGGCTTTTGTATGACCTTCTTCACCACTCTCTCTTTATTCTGCTCTCCCCACCTATTCCAAGCTCTGATTGGTGGGTAGAATCAGCCCACATGGGCTTAAGCATGGACGTAATTTTTTTTGGGGGGGGGCATGTGCCCCCCCCCCCCCCACACACACACACACACACACACACTTTTTCCAAAGTCAAGTTTTGACCCCTGCACTTTTTACCATCCAAAAACAATATTACGCTACTGTATATTACATTGACACTGGTTGAGCTCTAGGACCAAGAGGAAAACAATCGTTTGTGTTGAAGCCTGTTTCCCATTAGAGCGCACTGTTAAGGTACCCCCCCAAGAGCATACTGTAAAGATCCCTCCCATGTTCCCCACAATTCTAAAGTGAAAATTACGTCCATGAGTACGTTTACATGCAGCCAATATCCGGGTTATGATCGCGTTAAGGTCGGCATTCAGGTTTCTGAGTTGATCAGAATAACCTGTTTACAAGCACGAGTTACCCCTAACTTGCATAACCCGATGTAAATGCGGACGTTGGGGTAGCGTCAGGACGTGTGGACTACGTCCAGATGCAATATGCGTCATTTCCGGTTCTTCTTGTTCCAGTATCCGTGAAAACAACAACATTTTTCCCAGTTCGGAAGAGATAGCGACCGCGTTTGTTTGCGCTTTAGTTTCCTCGTCACTCAAAGTGTGGTGCTGTGCCGCGACTCGCCATTTTGCTCCCAACTTGTTGTTTACTTCCGGTGTTCTGGCGCATACAAGATGTCTCGCTACTCAAAAGACCAAGATTCCTTGCGAACAGAGCATGCGCAGAACACACGCTTTGATGGGGATATCCCGATATGCGTTTACACGACCAAACATTCGGGTTAGAAAAGGGTTACCCCAGGTGTAGTAACCGTTATGAGCATATCCGGGTTTCTGGCGGTGTTTACAAGGACCTGCGGAACCGGGTTATTGTGAATATTCGGGTTTTAAAAGCTGAAAATGTCTCTGACTGCATTCCTTGCATACCTAAGCATGGACGTGTGGAATCAACCGGGCCAGGCTGGGGCCGACTGGAGCTATCCGGGCAGGGCCGACCAGGTACAGATGAGAATGGCCCATTAGCTCCTCAGATAACTGGGACACTGACCCCCTGAAGTCATGAACAAATCAGATTTGTTCATGAAAGTAACCCAGTGCCTTTGAAAACACAGAATGCTTCTAGAGTGTAAAGCTGTCACTTTTGTCAGTTTTTGAGTAAAAACCCGTCAGTTAAGTTAAATATTTGTTCACTTTTCAATGTGAGTCCAAGGTTGTTTATTATACACATTTATTGATTTAACCCACATTTTGTTCTTGTACACCTTTACAAATATACCTTTTCTAACCAATTTGAGTCAATCTCTTCCTCATAAAAGCTGTAGTACATGTCAGAATCTGGAATCAGATTAAACACTTTCAGTGATTCTTTTGTTGCTTTTAGAAACCACTAAACTACCAAAGAGGTCAATTAAAACTTTTAACTATAAAACTATAAAATTTTTCTCTTTAGGAGCTGAAAAATCTGATCCCCAAGTCTGCAGTCGGCACGCTTTCTGCCAACTCCAGCAATGTCATCAACCTGATTGTAGATGCTTACAATGTAAGTCCATTCATGAGATTCTGACATTTAAGTTCTCTTTAATAAAACTTAGCTAAGTGTGTCTCTGCTGTGCAGGAATGACAACACGTGTCCTGTTATCTCTTGGTTTTTGACAGTCTCTATCATCAGAGGTGATTCTGGAGAACAGCAAGCTCCCAGACGGGGTGACTATAGCATACACGGCTCACTGTAAGAACGGCGTGGTTAATGAGGGTGAAAACGGCAGAAAGTGTTCCAACATCTCCATCGGAGATGAGGTGAGAACTGGAAAGGGGATTTTTTTAAGGACAACTCTGGTTCATTTTAGAGATTTTGAGCTAAAATGTAGTGCTTTAGCAGCTGAGAGTCATTTACAACATATATTAGGACTAATGCATGATTGTATCAGCCTGGCAAGCCATCCTATATAACTGAATATTTAGTCTGGCCGTGACACATAGACAGAGCTCAGTCATGGGGCGGGATGTGCGGTTGTTTTTTAAACTGTCTCCACATACTATTGAACATCAAACAACGTGATGTACTCACCGCTTAGGATGTCAGTCAATTGGGCAGTCCACCAAACACTGATGAAGAGGACACATGTGCATCCTTTTTCTAAATAAAGGACTCAAGTACCTCTAACTGCTTGACTCAAGCAAAAGCCCAAGTCTAAATAGTCCAAATGTAATGCCAAAGCCATTTCAAAAGAGTCAATGCCATCATTTTTGTTTTGCTTAGTGGCAGCAAAACCTGCCCACCAAACCAATAGAGCACTGTGATTGGCCCACCAAACAGATAGAACATTGTGATTGGCCCACAAACCAATAAAGCACTGTGATTGGCCCACAAACCAATATACCTCTGTGATTGGCCCACCAAACAGATAGAACATTGTGATTGGCCCACAAACCAATAGAGCATTGCGATCGACCTACCTAGCCAATAAAGTGCTGTCATTGGCCCACCAGACCAATAGAACATTGTGATTAGCCCACCTGACCAGTAGAAAGCTGTGATTGGCCAGTCACAAGACAGTTTGGTCCTACTGAGGCTCCGATGGAGCGTGGCTAGACCGATCTGCAGAGCAGAATCTTTTTGCTTCTGCTACGGTCTGTCTAGATTTCTAGGCTTGATTATAGGTATTGACCGAAAAATGTTCCTCGAATAAATTTATAGTAATCATATCATTTTTGAAAAATTCCCACTTTCAAATCTTAAAGACTTCATAACCCCACAGCTTCACTCAGATATTACTCAAAAGCTGCTTCATATTTTATCGTTGTCAAATAAGATGTTAGACTTTTTCTTCTCTATTTCCTTTTGAACTTTGGATCATTTTACTTCCAGGTCAAGTTTAGCATCAGCATCACATCTAAGGGCTGTCCAACCAAAACCAAGCTCAAACCCATTAAGATCAAACCTCTGGGATTCACAGAAGAGTTGGAGATTCATCTAAACTTCATCTGTGAGTGTGAATGCCACAAAAAGGGCATCAAGGACAGTCCAGATTGTCATTTTGGTAATGGGACCTACGAGTGTGGAGCCTGCCGGTGAGTCTATTTCTGAAGGTGTCACATTTAAACGCCTCACAGCATCACAGCTTTTACCCTCTGTGTCAGGTGTAACGAGGGTCGCGTGGGCAGGAACTGCGAGTGTAGCAGCAATGAAATATCCACGGAGGACATGGACCTGGCCTGCCGTAACAAGAACAGCACCGACATCTGCAGCAACAACGGAGAGTGTGTGTGTGGGAAGTGTGAGTGCAAGACGAGGGAGAACCCAAACGAGAGGTACAGCGGCAAGTACTGCGAGTGTGACAACTTCAACTGTGATCGCTCCGGAAACTTGCTCTGCGGAGGTGAGCGTTTGTGTCATCGGTGTTGTCGTTTGGAAACTCCATGTGGTACCTTGAGATCCTTGTTCAGAATGAGTGGTGAGCTGTTAAAGGTGCCCCCCTCTCTGGTGTTCAGGACACGGACGCTGTGAGTGTGGAAAGTGTGTCTGTGATCCCATGTGGAGCGAAAGCGCCTGTGACTGTTCTCTGGACAAAAGCACGTGTTTGGCCAGCAACAAGCAGGAATGCAACGGCAGAGGGACCTGTAAATGTGGCAGCTGCAAGTGCACAGACCCCAAATTCCAGGGTCCCACGTGTGAAACGTGTCCCACCTGCCCAGGAGTCTGCGCCGAGCACAAGTAAGAAAACAGTCATTCTGGCCCTGATGAGACATTTTTAGCTGAAAAGCATCTTCAGACACAAAGAAATTTTATCCTAACAAATCTAACGCGGTGATTCCCAAAGTGCAGAATTCCCTTGTTTGAAATTTCCTGAATGACCTCTAATGATTAGGGGTTGTATGAACTAGTCGACTAGTCGACTTCACGGCTCTGTAGTGACTTTTTATGCCTGTTATCGACTAGTCGCTGTCACGTGATAATGACTGACAAGATGCAGTCCTCCAGCAGGTGATGAGCCCCTGCGTCGGGAGGCGGAGGCGACGCGCTGTGCCAGAGTGTCGGTACTGACACCGGCGGTAAAACGGACATTTAACCAAACTGTGACCTTTTCCCTCTTGCAATTTTACCTTCCCCTCACCCCCATCCTAATCTTAACCAGTTTCTGCATGCAATGCTCCGATCGTTGACGCGCTCCAGACATCTGCGTCCTGAGCACCGCCAAATCAGTTGTCACCACCTCAAAAAAACCCGTGATCGTTCATGTCGGCTTATTTCCTTTCATGTTTTCTGTCTGTTATTTGTGCCTGATGCGTTTTGCTGCTGCGGAGCGGGGCGCATCACCTGTTTTGTCCTCCGGTGACGCACCCCCAAAATTCCACTATCTCCGCTCCGCTCCGGCACGAACTCCGCAGCAAAAACTGTCTCATTGTAGTCAGCCGGCGAGCAGCGGCACTCCGCTGTTTTTGCGGTCGGTAGATCTTTTAGAACTGCAGTTCAAAGGTAACTCATAAGGTGAATATATATGAACCCAGGTAGCAGTTTCTCTTTAGGATTGAGAGGAGATGCAGGAAGATAATAAACAGGCAGGACAGAAAAATAGTCAAATAAAAACAAGTTAGTTTTTGTACCTGGTGGTTGCAACAAACAGACACCATTGAAGGTAATCAGAAGTGAGGAACAGAAAATGAAATAATTACTTTAATGTTCAGAGCAGCAGGAACTCTGAGAGGCTGCAGGTGCATCAGTGAGTTTGCGGCCGCTGCGCAGGTGGAGGGGGGAGAGGGCTGAAGCAGAAACTACCGTTGTTAAAAGAAATGTGTTTAACTTAGAAAATGTGGACGCAATTTTAATTGTCAAAAACTCCAGCGAACCTACCGAAAGCCCCCCACCCACCCCCCACCCCCCCCGGCTTCAGGTGTATGACGTCATCAATGAAGTTAACTCGATTTTCATTACTTGACTGTCGACTTTAAAAAAAATTAAGTCATGCAACCCCTACTAATGATGCCTACATGCATACTAGACTTCCTTTTTTTGCAAGAGAAAAGTTAAATGCTTGAAACTGAGTTAAATTGAAATATAATTCCTAAGAGTTACTAGCGTCTCTGGAATAGGACAGTGAACGGACACATGTGTAGGTCTGGTTTGATGTTTCCCACCTGCTTCACTCTTATTTTTCCCTTAAACTCTGTGTGTTTTAAGAAAAAGCTAAAGGAAAAGATGCTAATTTAATAGTGACGACACTTGTAACACTGGTGTTTTCTCCAGAGAGTGCGTCGAGTGCAAAGCGTTCGGCACCGGCGAGAAGAAGGACACGTGTCAACAGGAATGCAGTGACTTCAATCTGATTGAGGTGAAGAGCAGAGACAAGCTGCCCCAGCCCCACGAAACCCCCTACCCCGTCATGCACTGCAAGGAGAGGGACGCCAACGACTGCTGGTTCTACTACACCTACGCAGTCAAGAACAAGACAGAGAAGGTGGTCCATGTGGTGGAGAAGCCGGGTAAGCAGAGCTTACAGGGTGTGGAGGACATACTTAGCAGAAAATAGAGTTTCTGTTTTGGCTCAGTCATCAGCTCTGCTGCTCTGCTTCAGAGTGCCCCACTGGGCCCGACATCGTCCCTATCGTGATCGGCGTGGTGGTCGGCATCGTCTTGATCGGCTTGGCCCTGCTGTTCATCTGGAAGCTGCTGATGATCATCCACGACAGGAGGGAGTTTGCCAAATTTGAGAAGGAGAAGATGAACGCCAAATGGGATACAGTGAGTGTCTGGAGCAGGAATTCTGTGTGAAAATGAGCTGGAAACACGTAACTGGTGTTTGGCGGTGTAGATGTTTAAATGTGAAAACCAGGTGGAGCTCGGCCTCACCGCTGACCCGTTCACAGCCGCGGGATGAAGTTATGAAGGCCATCCGTAGTTCTTAGCAGCAGATGAGATCTGCAGACGTGTTTATATCGTCAGAAGGAGTCTGATTCGTTCTGTGTCGTCTCACAACTGTGAAGACAGATCCAGTTTGTTGCTTTTGAACGTCTCTCAGCCTGAGACGGAAAAGTCTTACAGGCTGTGTGGACTTTTTTGGGAATGCTATGCACAAAAGTTTTTCCAGGGAGGGGCCAGGCTTCTCCCCTCCCTGCTTCCTTTCTTCCTGTCATATCATCAGCCAACATCAATACCGCACAAACTTGGATTTCTAGTAGGTCCAGGTTCAGTGACGTGTCTCCACCTAGTGGTAGGAGTAGGTCATGGACTTGGATCAGATGTTTAACTTTGGGTGGAGCAGCCGCTCAAAGTTGTCTTTAACTAAATAACAGAGTTGAATAAAGATAAAAGAGAACAAAACATTTATTTACATTTAAGTTTTTCATCTATAAAGTGTCTCTTTTGTTATGTGGATTACGAACGATTTAGCAATTCAATAGAGAAACATGCTAAATTTATTAAAAAATGACAAATTTGAATGAAAATACAGCGAATGTTGTTTCCTTTCAACACAAATTTTCATGAAAATGCTTAAAAACCCAACTACAACATCAAAGATCATATATGTATAAAGGGCCCTGGCCTGCTTTCTATCATAAGGCATCTTTACAAAATAATAATTATCAGAAATGTTGGGATTTGAAACCAAACAGCTTTTATTTCTCGTGGCTCTACTTCTTATCTGTTGTTTGTCAGAGGCCGCTTTCACACATGAGCTCCGTGTATCTGAACTATGTTCGCTGCGTCGGTGTGGGAGAATTCCCAGCCAGGATTCCAGACTCCTTCCATCCTCGTAAATCTGATTTCAAATCATCGTTAGGACTACAAATGTACTTTCTGCTTCACACTCGTTTCTCATGTTCTGTATGTTCCATTCTTCTTGTTTTCATGTTCTGATGTTCTCCATTTTCCTGTTCACATCTCTCCTGTCCTCCTCGTTCTTCACATTTAGCAAGAAAACCCAATTTACAAGAGTCCAATCAATCAGTTCCAGAACCCAAGCTATGGACGGAAAGGCGCTGTTCTTTAAGTGTGTATTTCTTTCCCTCTCCTCCTGCACGGAGTGTGTTTGTGTGTGTCCTGCTTTCACGTCCGACCTAACTTTTTAGTTAACTTTTTTTAAAAATGGAGCTCAGTGAACGAACCACAGTCGTACCAGCAAGAAGGAGGTGTTCCTCTGTGAAGAGGGGTGGCATGGGTGTATTTTCTGCGAGAACGATGGTGATGTTGTTCTCCAGGCTTTTTGTCACAAGCATGTTGGACGTGATCTGAATGCAGTGATTCCCAACCAATAACCTTAGCGTGTGGTTTCTGGTAAAGGTTTCTAACTGCTTCCTGGAGTGTGGAAGAGCTCTGGGAATTCTGACTAACTGGTGCGTGTTTGTGCATTTTACAGGGTGAAAATCCCATCTACAAAAGCGCCGTCACAACTGTTGTCAATCCCAAATACGAAGGCAAATGAAAACCTCGAACTCTGATATGAATCAGCTGCAGTATTCCACGCTGGTCTGGCTCTTACGCGGGAGCGCTCAATCAAGGATGTGTGTTTGTCTCGTTGCTTTGCCACAAAACGTTTGGACACCATGTCTGTTATTTTTACTAACCCTTCTGATGTATACCCACACGGATTTCAGGTGTACAGTCTGTGTATATACTTTATGTTGCACGTTTGCAGAAATGTATAAATGGTGTTTTTATTTGCTGCCGGTGGACTGGTAAGGCCAGAGAGGCTTTGTTATCACACGCAGGCCTTATAACTTCTGAATCCGCAAAGACTAGCTGCAATATTTATGTTTAATGGGATATGTTGGCCTTTTTGAAGTGTGATTTTGTTCTGGTAAAAATTAGAAATAAGCTTTATATTCTAATAGAATGGCTCTCCATAACTTGCAAGATAGTAATTGTTTGTACTTTTACACAGAAACACCATGCAAATGGCCAAAAATCCCATTAAATGTGTGTCACTTGTGTTTTTTTCTGTAATGTTTAACTGTGTATTTATAGAAATGAAGCTCAGTATAGAAACCAGCAGTGGTTGTGTTTGTAGCTATGGCTTTGGTAACAGGACCTAGCTGTTTTTATTGACTTTTCAACCCACAATGAAGATATTGGTATTATTTATATACCTGTAGCGTTATAAAAGGGACTGAGCAGCACTCGTTATGAAGGTGCAGTAATAATGAACAACCCAAAGTTTCACAGGTCTGGTTTCTGCAGTTATTTTTAATCCTTAGGTCTCTGCCTCAATGTCACCAAAACGATCTGTTCCTAGAGTTGTTTATTTGTTTTGTTTCTCACACTGTTGCTCACACACACTCAAAAGTTGCTTGTAAAGTGACCTTTTTGTTTCTGTGCCATGCTGTCTCCATGTCCTTTTCATGAGATATGTTTTTTAAAACAAAACTTAAACCGTGTTTTCCTCTGTGATGCTCTACAACTGTCTTCTTCTTCTTTCAATAATGATACCAAACGAGAGGAGGTAACAGTGGCTTTATGGGAAACTAGGCATACTACAAAACATGAAAGTATAGATGTTAATGACAGTTTTATTATTCTATAGTGTTTTATAGACAAAGATTAAGTCATTCAGTCGCTTTTGGTTTTGCAAACAGATAAAAGAGTTAAATCAGGGATGTTACAACAGATTATAAAGAGACTAAATGAGTTCTGGATCAAAAATAAACTATTTAAATCTTGTTCCTGAGTCTGGTCTCAGAATTGAAACATCCGGTTGATGTGATGATAGCAGGTTTATATTTGGTCCTAGTCTTCATGACTGCCAAGTATCACATATATGTAGAGGCTACGTTCAACAAGATTAAATCAACGAGCTAAAGCAGGAGCTAGCATCTACTGCTCTACAGTACCAGCATGTCAGATCATACGCCCTCTGATGGCAACAACACAACACTAAATCCACGTAGGCTTTATGGATTATACTCTAAAGAAATTAAATTAAGTTATTAGCAGGTAATAAAAGAATTAATTTATTTAGTTATAAAATGTTACCAGCATATGTTTGTAGTTTCTGATCAAATATGTCAGATATAACACTATTAGTTATTAGTTACAAATAATTACCCAACTGCAGCAAATAAATACACTTAAGACATTGATACACACATTTAATTGAACAATTAAACGGTCTATATTTTGTTTTAACGGGAAAAGCATTGAACTGAACTAAAATTAAAAAACACTACCAAGTATAACAATTTTTTTTGTTTTGTTCATTGTTTAAATAAACTTTTAATGTTTTTACTTGTAATGTGTCATTCGATCTGGTTGGTTGATGGCCACATAGGCTACTCTGTCCAAAAATCATTTATATGATTTAGATCAACTGGATGTAAACACAATAACGCAATACTCTGGCTTTCTGGGTTTTTACCGCCCTCTAGCGAATGGAGTTTGTTACTACAAGCACTAAAATCATTAGCACTTCCTGTAGATTCCTTCCAAATAAAACATACCACTTACAAATCACTACAGGTTTAAAATCAATGTTAACATTACAGTTAATGTAAATAACGAGAAATAAAGAACGTCTTCACCTATACAGACCACTTAACTTTTAAAATGTAATAAATCTATTTTGTTTATCTTGTTCAACAAGATTAAATAAACGAGATAAAACAGGAACTCTTAGCATTTAGCTACTTCACTACAATTACCAATATATTTATGTTAATTGGGCTGTAAATATGTATTAAGTAAGACATTTTAAAATGCAGATCAGTGAGTTTTCATTTTGTAACAGCTGATGATAACCGGAAGTGCCAACTAGTGAAACCGGAACTTGTTGGAGTGAGACGTCTGTAGAAAAAAATGCTGTCAAACTATCTGTGGTGCCAGCTGTAAAAAGGAGCGCATCGTTTGCTTCTCACTGCGAGTTTCAAGTTTAAATTATTATTAACCAGTTCTGTTCTTGAAGGGAAATGGAAGACGACGTATTAACTACGCTGAAAATATTGATAATAGGCGAAAGTGGCGTAGGGAAGTCCAGGTAAGACGAAGCTTTTCTTTAAGATGTCGTGTATGTTAGCCAGCTAGTTTTAGCCTCGTTAGCAAACGGACTGAATTGTGAGCTTAAATATGAAGCTGTGTTTCAGAGTAACGACAGCTATACAGCATGGTTTATAATTACTCTTTAAGGGTTTAGACAGAACTGTCATGTCAGAGTAAACAAGGCTGCTTGTCCAGCTAACAGCTGCTAGCCATGAGCTCATCTTTGTTCCTGATGTGGAGTTGCTGCTCTTCGTCATTCCTGCCAGAGGACATCATACCAGTTTATCAGCAAGCAGCCACAACCACCAGAGGTTGCACTGACGTTTTAACCAACACTATAGTTAAGTTAGCTGGCTTTCTAAATGATCCAGGCCTTTGACATCAACCAGCAAATGTTAAAAAATAACACAGCCTCCCAGATGTTTAAAACATCTGGTTATGTTTAATGTCAAACTGCCTGTTTTGTCTTATCAAGAGTCCTGATGACCAGATTAGTTTATATGGCGTGATGATCTTCACCTGGTCATCCTAAAAGGTTTAAACAGACTCATTAATTAGCCATGATAAACTATTGTTTATTGGCTTTCCTGCTAAGGCTAACGGATTATTTTCTAGCTAACAAAGTTCCCTTTATCACTCTTTTATGTGCCTAAGTTATTCTAAATAATATTCATTACTTTTAAATTTAATTTATGTATCTGTTTTTTTTTCAACTGGATAATAACATTTACCTTACTGTTTATCTACCCTGATATCTAAAGCTGTAGCAAACGCAGAGATAGACCAGGGAAACATTAGCTTTACTTGTCAGATGATCAGGCTTGCAGTGTGTCACGTTTAAAACTGTCCGGGTAGAAACAATCCTCAGTCTCACTGATATTTTCTGTTGTATGATGATTTTAGGATTTCTCTACCTTGGCCTGCTGCCAACACATTCATCTCCATTACGGACTATTACTGAAAGCAAATGTCTGTTAATAATTCTAATAGACTCCATCTATTTAACAAATTCGTATAATGATTAGTTTCAGGTGTTGTTGTGACAGTCATCCAGCGCTGGGTTTGGTTTTAACGGGATGAAGCCAGAAGCTTGTTTTTGAATGGCGTGTAGCTGGTTTTTATTTGTTTATTTGTGGTGATGTCAAACACACACACACGACTTTACCAGAACAAATGATGTAAAATGTCTTCAGTGAAACATGCCGAACAGGTCACCTTTGTGGACTTCAATTACCATTTGGTCTTGATGGAAATTTTGAGGATGATGCATGAGTCAGAGGATCACGATCAGTGACGGGACTCAGGACTTTTAACCTGATTAGTCATGCAGTAGAAATGAACCCTGTCCTCCTGATGATGAAATCGTCAGGATCACACAGAAGTGATGCAAGCTGAGGATGACGAGATCAGGACGTGGAATTAGCTGATCTTGGTGGCACAGAACAGGATGTGAGCCAGAAACTTGAGCTTGAACTCAACGCTCTGGAGCAGAAGCACCAAGAAACAAAGTGGTTCAGTTTATTAGGTTGTGATTAAAAATAAGGTCTAATCTTCTTTCTGTCTACAGCCTCCTCTTAAGATTCACAGATGACACTTTTGACCCTGAACAATCAGCCACAATAGGTGAGTGATGCTCTGCTTTGTAAAATGTGACAGGTGTGTTGTTTGGGTCTAAGCAGCAGATCATCTGAATGATCCAGTAGCAGCTGGTGTTTATTTAGGAGTAATTACATGTACGTGTTTTACATTTTAAAGAATCCAAAGTGTTGGATCACAGTAATAAAAAAGGATGTGCATTAGGGCTGAGCGATTTTAGGAAAAGATCGAATTACAGTTTTTCTAACAGAAATTGCGATTTCTGTTCAATTCACGATTTTCCGCAAACAAAGGTCCAACAGTAGCCTGCCAAGCCATCCTGTAGATGAAGTGAAAAGATGGTCTAGATTCTAATCCAGTACAACAAATTATTCACATTAATATTTACTATTTAATCATGCAATAAAAACAGTTAAAGCTATTAATAATTTCTCCCATTATTATCTTTTTTTATGTGTTTGTGAAGCAACTTGTGCTTGTGATTTTTATCTAGAGAGGAGCTTTATAAAAACATGTTCTACTCCAAAAATGCATGGAGGAAATCTGTAGGTAGAAATGGCTTTTAAATGCATTAAATAACAAAACAAACACAGTTTTCCCTGCATTACCAAGGCAGGCTGGCTGCACGTTTTTCAAAGCCGTCTGATAGTTTTTCCTCACTAAAACGTCAGCTCCGTGAGAGACGCACACATTCTGACACCTTAGCTTGTCTGAACTAACATCAGAAACATTCAAACCATTTTTAAAAGAGAAGTTGAGCTTTCAGGTCAACTAAAGTGTGTGACTCTGCACTTGTTCTGATGAAGCATAAACCAAGCTTTAGAAATCAGCCTGAACCTGCTCCGATGTGGGAGGAGCCTCTTTCTCCCTTACTCAACTCCGTTCTCTCTTACTATCGGCTCCAGCAGCGCTGTGTGTGTGGGAACATAAAACGGAAAATAACCTGAACATGCAGCTCTGTCAGCTGTGGAGTTGGGCTCGGCTCTGGACGGTACACCCCACCCCCCTCCCACATGCTGGCTTTTGTTGCTGCCATAACACAGGGGGAAAACCCCGGATGTAAAAAAAAAAAAAAAAAAGTTACACAACTGGTCCTGGATCAGTCAAAACCGCAGCTTTGACGGTCACGTGATTGCACTGTTTGAAATCGCAATTTCGGTCCAAAAACGATAGATCGTTCAGCCCAGATGTGTGTTGGTGAAATTCTGGCGAGGTATCACGATACAGGGGCAACGATACGATATATTGCGATCAGTGGCGGCTGGTGAAAAATATTTTTGGTGGGGCTGTGCTATTTTTTTATTTTTAAACAAACTTGTGCTTTCTGAGCTTTGTGCACAACTTCACTATTTCCTGAATTAAGCACAGCTCTTTTATTTCCTGTCTTACATCATTGGACAAACTGATTAATCCAGGTGTGTCTGACTATTGGCACGCTGCCTTGCGGACCAAGGTTGAAAAATACTGCATTAAATTGCACATAAAATAACATGACCATAAATGGTAAATAGGCAATGCAAGAGGCAAGTAACAAAAACATTTTGTTTAATTTCAACATTTGAGTGAACACGAAAAATTATGAGCAGGTCACTTTTACAGTAATGGTAGTAAACACCACTTAGACAAAATGCCAGAAATTTACACTGTTAAATATTTCTGGAGTGTTGTGCCAAGGTCAACTTTATACAAAGATCAAGTGGATGCATTTGTGTGTGTGTGTGTGTGTGTGTGATACCTCATTTGTACAGAAATTTTGCCCTTCTGTCCTTCTGAGTGGCAAAGCTCTCGATGAGCTTTTTATTGAAGTCAGGGATGTTTGTGACAAGCTTGTTTTTCCATGGAGAGCATGGCAAGAGCATTCAGCCCATCTTGTGTCATGGTGTTCCTCAAGGAAAGTCTTAATCCTCTTTAAAGTAGAAAAGCACCTTTCTGATTCGGCTGTGGTCATGGGTGTGGTGACAAGAATCTTCTTTTGCATGGCTCAGGATGGTGTGAAAAACCTGTCATATGATAAATAAAAAAACAACAGATAAGTACATAGGAAACACTTTTATAAGAAATAATGTCATCAGTATCCTCTTACAAATGTCATATTTCCCAGTTTTTGGGACAATAAAACATTTCTGATTCTCAGATGTTTTTACATTTGAAGTAAAAACATCTAATTGAGAATCAGAAATGTTCAATTGTCCCAAAAGCTGGGAAATTTGTTTGCTGCAGCAGAAGTGTAACAAGTAAAATGGAATCAGATTGATGTATGTACAAATTTACATGAAATACACATTTACGTGATTAAATATGTATAATAAGTATGTGTGTTGAAATTAGTTTTTACAGTTATTGCACATTAAACATGTTATTAAACAAATGTCCCGGTTTGTGGGACAACCAAGGATTTCTGATTCTGATTGTCTTGTTCACAGAAATGTAATGTACAGCTTACCTCTGCACCCAGCTGCTGTTGTTCCCTATATGGCAACGTTAGCTCTGCTGCCTAGCATGGCTAGCTTCACCGTGTTGTTGTCCATGTGTGCCCGGGATGACTCGTGTTTCTTCACCTTCTCAGAAAAATGTTTCATGTCTGTAACTCCTGACTCATCCATGCCTTATCTGTCCCAGCCGTTTTGAATAACAAACACGGAAAGCAAAATAACGCATTAGCGTGATTGCATCCAGCTAGCCAAGCCTTCCTGGTGTACCAATTTTGGGAGAAGCCTCGTGTGTACAGTTTACCTCTCTCCTCCTCCTGCTGGCTTATCTTTACGTCGGGCTGATCTGGTCCAAGCTCTTTGACATTAAGTTTTTCCACCATAGTTCTCCTCTCGAACGGATACTGGAGGAGAGACCGAACTGAATTCAGTGGCTGCTGATGAGATCCGGTATCCATGCTGGTTGTAGTTACCGGCGGCGTCCATGTTACATCTGCGTCACGACCAAAAACGACTCTGCCGAGTTCTACCGAACACCAACGAAACCTTTGGCGGTAGCTCCATCGCCCATCATGCTTCTGAAACGTTCTGAAACAACGTCGACGCTGATTGGATACATTCCCATTCCTACCCTTTGATATTCTTGTCAGCAATTGGACAGCTGGTCTCGTCCTGTTTGGGCGATTGAAAAACAGCACACAGCCTCCACCGCTCGGCAGAGACCGGCAGAGACCAATATAGATATATATATATATATATGATTTATTTTTGTTACAAAACACACAATTAACTTAGAATATGTAATTATTGTTAATTTTATTTATTTTTTTAAATAAAAATTAAAAACACGGAAAAACTGGGAGGGCGGCGCCCTATCGCCCTCTACTGGCCAGCCGCCACTGATTGCGATACATTCAACCAGACGATATTAGTGATTTTTTAGACTGAATTTATTATAGGAAAATTCAATAAACAGTCCAAACTGATGTGTAACATGTTTAACATGAAGCATCCGAACCATAATTGAGGGATTTACATTTCAATGGTGGAAACAAAACCCATTGCACACTGCTGTCAACTAGTGGTCGATGTTTGAATTGCACCAAAAGAAAAGAAAATCTTTGCATGTAAATTTTTTTCCAAAATTTGATACTGTTTTTGAATATTGATATAATATCGCAGGAAAAAATATCACCATATATTGCCATATTGACATTTTCTTACATCCCTAATTCCCTAATCCCTATTTTTTTTTATAAGAAATGTGTAATTTTAAAAAGCCAGAAACTAAAAGTGAGTCTGAGCCAGGCCAACCTTGATGCTACATCATCACTCCTTATAAGGAAATCACTTTTGTAGCTTTTTAACCAAAATCAGAACTCTTTGTTTTTTGTATTTATTTTCTCATCTACCTTATTCCTAGTACCCATGATGCCTTGTGTGAAGGCTAGGTGCAGCTTTAAGCGAACAAATCTGAAACATTTAATATTTTCCCAGTCAGAGTCTTAAATGAGCATCTTTGTGGTTTTGTGTCCTCACCAGGTGAGAATGTAGTCAGACGGGTACAAACTAGGGATGCAACGATACCCCTTTTTCCAAACCGATGCAATACCGATGCTTGGATCTGAGTACTCGCCGATACCGAATACCGATACTTTTACCATACAAAAAAATGCAATGATTTGAAATACAGATTTTATTTTCTTCTCTGCTTTCAACAGGAAAAGAGTGTGAGGTGGATAAAAAGTAAAAGATATGAATAAAAATCATCACAAAACTAAAATATTAGGTGAACAGAAATGACAAGTTAGTGAAGCCATTTTCAAGCAACTGCATTGGTATCGGTTCCTGGTATCGGTTAACTTTTACCGATACCGATACTGTTATCGGTATCAGTGCATCCCTAGTACAAACACAGGAAATTCGCCTAATTTTGATTCCAGCCACGAACAGGAGAGTATGTACCGGAGGACATCTCAGGACGAAGAACATTTAACAAAGCTGGAAAATCATTTAAATTAGTAAAAACTTCTCTTTCCCGCTGCCTCTTTTGTCTCTCTGGAAGTTCTAGACTGTTTCTTCGGCACCAAGGATGAGACGAAATTTAGATAGGAGAGTAGGGTTCATGATACGGAGCTTTAGTTTGTTTTAAATGGCATAAGGAGTGTAAATTAAAGCAGTTTTCATAGCAGCCTTAGCTAGGCATGCTTTTCCAGACTCCTGTTCTTCTGTTGCAGTCAGAAATAATTTTTATGTTTAATCCATGATGTATGTTTGATTTGGGTCATCAGAGCATTGTTTTATTTCATCGTCAAGCTAAAAATAGTCACTTAAAAGTGATTCTTTATTACTATGTGGAGATAATAAAGGCTAATAAAGACAAATCAGACCCTAATCCCCTAGTGTTTATCTGCTGCGATGTCCTGAGTGTATTTCTACCCGACCCTGTGTTTAGAAGCTACGACGTAGAGCTGTTTCCAGAGCTGCCTGCAGGAATCCACCCATCTTGTTGTGATTTTACAAACAGATGCTTCGGTGTGCGTTCCTTGGGGAAAAGCCTGGATGTGTGATGAATAACAGCACAGCGGATTGTTCCAGATTCAGGGAAATGTTTAAACGTGTGCCTGAGTAAACTCGAGGCCTTATTCCTCGGTTAGGGGAGAAGACATCAACAGCAACGCTAAAGACAAGTGTGGTGAGTCAGGTTTGATCGAGTCTACGTGAACAGTGGGCGGATGTCCGATCCTCTGAGCCCAGTACTGTTCTCTGATGAGGTGAAGCCAGGCTGTCCCTTTGGTGGTCACAGCATCATTTATCTAACAGACGTTTAACGGGCCCGGTGCCCGTCTGAACAGCGCGGGGTGAACAAAGGTTCGGAGACAGTGTGTGGTAATGTATGTTTTGACCATTCATCATCAGTGATTCCAGTCTGCCGGCCTGATGTGATTTTCTTGGCAGTAATTGGTCAAACCTGTGAGAGTCATCATGGAGCGCTGGAACGGGGTGAGGTCATCCTGTCCCTTTCAGGAACCTGAACGGCCTTTATTTTCTTTTCTAGGTGTCGACTTCAAAGTGAAGACCATATCTGTGGACGGCAACAAAGCAAAGTTAGCTATTTGGGTGAGTTAGGCAACCAGTGACTTTATTAATAACTTATACAAACAAACAAGTTATTTTCTGTTAAAGGTACTCAGTGATCTGTCATGATCACCACAAGAGGGCGCTGTTGTATCACTGTTTCTGTTCACACACACACACTAAGAGGTGTCTGAGTGTCCATCAGGATTTTAGATTTGTTTCATTATTTAGAGTCCTGAGCAGCTGCTTTCTTCTGCAGGATACCGCCGGACAGGAGCGCTTTAGGACCCTAACGCCAAGTTACTACCGCGGTGCTCAGGGAGTCATCCTGGGTAATAAAGCTGTGTGTGTGTGTGTGTGTGTGTGTGTGTGTGTGTGTGTGTGTGTGTGTGTGTGTGTGTGTGTGTGTGTGTGTGTGTGTGTGTGTGTGTGACTGGATCTCATCTCTTCTGGCCTTCTCTTTGAGTGTTTGTTTGCTTTCACACAGTTTATGATGTCGCACGACGTGAAACCTTCACCAAGCTGGACAACTGGCTGAATGAGCTGGAGACATACTGTACGAGGAACGACCTTGTTAAAATGCTTGTTGGGAACAAGATTGATAAGGTGAGCGGGCTTGTAGTGATGAACAAATAGTTTGGGTTTCAACTCGGCTTCAGTACACTTTGTCTTGGAGAATGGTTTTTGATGTCTTCAGATGGAAAATACTGGAGAAGTAAATGTATCTCTAAAGAAGTAATCTGTTAATAAATAATAAAGATCATAATCATGAGAGGGACTGTCATAGCTGAGAAAATCACTTTTCCTCTCTGCTCGGCCTGGTAGACCTCGGATAATCAGCAGCTCTTCTTTTATTTCAGGAAAAGCACGAGGTGGATCGAGCGGAGGGGCTGAAGTTTGCAAGGAAGCATTCCACGCTTTTCATAGGTGAGTGGAGGCTTCCCTACCAGCTGGGATCCTGGATCACAGCGCAACAAACAGATCACTACTCCTAACTGCCCCTGACATTTCCCTCCCCCGTGTCCCATCCTCAGAGGCAAGTGCGAAGACGAAGGACGGGGTTCAGTGTGCGTTTGAGGAGCTGGTGGAGAAGATCATCCAGACTCCTGGTTTATGGCAGAGCGAGAACCACGGCAGAGCCGTTCAGCTCACAGACGAAGATGCTGGAGGCGGGTCCTGTGGTGGCTACTGCTCCCTGATCTAGAAAACACACACACACACCTGCATACAACACACTCAAACACAAGCACACACACACACCAAAAAGAAGAAGCTCCTCCTCTCAGTGCTCCGAAAGCTCTGGGGTCTTTTTGTTTTGAGGAATTCATCTGAAGGTTTTAACCTTTCTTAAAAGTATTAACTGTTCTTATTTCATACCAGTATCTTCTATCAAGTGTCTATTCCTGTCTGTAAAATATGTTAATGAGAGCAGAAACACTTTAAACGAATATTTTTGTTTTTGGAGCACCTTGCTGAGAAGATCCTTCCGTGTCTTTCCCATCATTCCTCAACGTTCCTTTGCTTATGGAAAAGCCAGTGGAGCAGAGCTTCTAGTCCATGTCTCTGCTGTCCACACAGAAGACTTTTTCTTTTAGTGTCTTCATGTCAGCTGGTACCAGCAGGTCTCCCACTGGGTGACAAGAAAAGAGGATTTTCTTTTGTTTATTTTTTTAATAATGATTATTTTTTTAGTAATACATTGTTTTAATAGAGTGTTACTGAGATAAAACCAGAAACTTCACTAGCCTGCTTCTGTAGACCCGTCTCATCAGACAAAGGAAAAGTGTTCAATATTAAACAGGCCACTGAGTCGGAGGGTCTTTCCAAACGGTTTGGAAAATCAAAGTAAGCTTTGTGCTCCTCGTTGCTGATGGATTTCACAGCGTTCCCGTCTCCCGGTTCGAGTATCTGAGAGATGTTCTGTACCCAGACCTCTGACCCGCGTTGTAGTACTCGGCTTTGATCTGCAGGCATGCATGTCCCACCACATGTAACAGTTTTAAATCTGTTTTTATTTGCATGGTTGATGTGTCCGTCTGCACTCAGCAGTCGTAAACTATAACAGTAAAGCACCGTGACATCTCGATTTTAATAATAATCAGGCTTTTATGCGCTTATTGAGCTGGGGTGTTTTGTTTTTGTTTGTTTTGTGGTGGAGGGTTATTGAAACTTGTAAATTGTGTATTTTAGGACTTTAAAGGATGATTCTTGTATGATTTACCTGTATGAATGTATACATGAGTCACTACAGACCGCTCCGTGTATTAAACTAAATAAAGTGCTTTTTTAAAAGAGTTTCTGCTAGGACCTGTGATTTAAAAGTCAGCAGTGATGTCATCGTCGCCATGATGGAAATGTCACTGTTAGGTGACGTTTTTTTCACTTGGCGACCTCCGCATTCCTCTGTCATCAGAACAAAGACGTTTGTTTAAACGGTGTCCGGGGCACCCTCAGAGCCCAGACGTGTGATCCGTCTAAATCATCTTTTTGGCTCGTTTCTCAGGAAACGCCACCGCAGCCATAACTCACTCCATCAGTGCTGTAATTCATTCTGGGGCAGAAACCAAAGGGTTGCTTTTGGCCGCCAAGGTGAAGACTCTTCCCTCGCAGCGTATCCATCATCTCATGCCATCGTCTGGGAACACATCTCCATCCGACAGCCAGTTTTCTCAGACATACTCTGGAAAACCACCAAATGTGACGATTTGAGAGATTTTGATTACTTCATACTTACTGTAGAATATTTCTATAATGGCCCATCAGGCTAAGTGTGTCGAGTTTGCACAACAAACTTTTGAAGTGTTTTTATTAATGCAAAGTTGAAAACTTCCCCTAGTGGCAGGCTGCTGAGTTACTTTTAAGTCCCGCCCACTTCTTGTATACGTTGGGACAGTTTCCCACCTAAAAAATATTAAAATGCATTACAAATTTTTGCTTTCAGTTTATTTCAATCGAGTTTGTTGGGGATCTAGTTCCAAAAGTACAAGATGGCAGTTAGAAGGTTGAAACGTGTTGTCCATTTTTATTACGCCCCACTGGTCTGATGAGCTAACGGCTAGTCCGAGTATAGCAAGAAGTTGTTGCTGTTTGAAGAAACACATTTCAACCTGGCTATAAAATCCCAAGAGCTTCAAAACTGGAAGTTCGTAGTTGTTGGGGAAAAAAGGACATTCCATCATTAGAAACTCCAAGATTAGTCTGGTAGATTTCCCCCTCATGAAGCTAGGCAGACTAGAGGCCGGCCGATCTATTCAATCTTTTCTATATTGGCCATCGGCCAAAATTGTTTTTAAAGTCATTTTAAAAATAACAATCAGGCACCTGTGTGGCCAACTGCCACCACTACTAGACTAAAGAAAGGACCCCAAAATATTTTAAGTTTTTCTTTATATTGGAAATTCAATAAGTATTAAGAGATTCATTGACTTATTTAAATTATATTGCTCACAGTGGGTGTTCAGTTGTCTTTCATAATCGGTGTGCTGCTAACACCTATACATATCGGCCTTAATAATTGGCTTTAGATATCGGCCATTGGCAATAGAATTCTTTAAAAATCGGTATCGGCATTGGCATCAGCCTAAAAAAACTATATCGGTCTAAAGCAGACATTAGAAAAGCCCTTTAACTGTTGGAAAGATTGACTAATGTTGTGTCTGAAGGGATGATAAGTGCTCTGCGGTATCCCTAAATGAAATATATAATGCCGGATAAGCTGGGTCCTTTTGTTTCTTCTCACCTTGTTGCAGCGAAACCCTTAGCGCTGCACCACCAGGACCGATTGACAGACTGCTTTCTGAGCTGCTGTTCATATCTGAGCATGCAACAAGGCGCTAAGCTAACAGAAGATCTGGCACCCATTAGCACCGTGCTGTCTTCGGGCTCCTCTGCCTGACAGCAGCAGGCCGTATGGATTAGCGATCAGATGAGCCCCTCAGGAGAGCAGTCATGCTGTCATGTGTAAAAACGTTACGAGACGTCCAGCATCGTTTCATAAGGTGTCGAGTTCCTGGACGTCACTCGCTTTGTCATGCTCATCACCACGCTGCTAGCAGGTAATTGTTTTGCCATGCTGACATTTTACAGTAAGAGTGAAGAAGAGCGTGATCGGAAAGATCGTCCTCCAGCTCAACCACCTGAACTCAATAACGTATGGAGGAACTATTATCTTTGCCATAACGAAGAGCAGATAATGACCGTAAGATCAGACTGATACTGAGAGGTGCAGCGGGCCAACTCACTCCAGGTTTTAGATGAAAGTTCAGGACCTACTTGGATAATGAACATTTGTAAACCAAGCCTTTTCTTTCCAGAAGGCATCTGTGGGTCTGCTGACTGTTTTAGTGTTTACACGAGGTGAGGTAGAGGAAAGCGTCCCTTTATTTCTGCTCCTTCCTCCCTCTGAAGTCAACCGAAGCCCAACCCTGGTCTCTCTTAGGTTACCTCCTGAGCAGCAGAGGACTGTGAGGTAATGACCAGAATAACCAGAACTGATGGCTCTGTCCCTGCAGGTGGAAACTCCGTGATTACTTGGACCCTTGTGTTTACATTTTTTGCACCCGTTCACATTTAGACCCTGTGACATTTCACCAGGCAGTAGAAGAGTCTTGATTCAGGTATGATGTGTTTTGATCTACAGTATGTGGCCTCGCGCGTTCTTTTACTTACACAGACAGTCAGCTGCCTGTGTGGGCCTACGCTTTCATACTGGAGAACATCTCATCTAACGGGATACCCAAAGTGTCTCAGTGGTAACTTAAAATGGGTTTTGGAGAGATTAGAAAGGATTTTGGGAAACCAAAACCTTTCAAATCCTGAGACTTTGCAGCCTTATTTTTTCAGCCTGTGTGTGCTAAAATGACCCTTTACAGGGTTAATGAAATGTCACTCAGACCCACACTGCTCTCTGTTACCAGAACGCCGCATTTGCAACTTCAGAGTATCGGTCCGCCACCTGTGGAAAAAAAATCATCTTACATACCCGGCACTGCAGTCTGCGTCCAGCATGTTTCCTGCATGATTTAGATCACAAACACAGCCGATTTGTTTGATTTAGTGATGAACTGCTCCTGTAGAAGTTTTGGGAAGGCTGGGGAGACATTTTCAGTTGTTAGATTAAGGTGTTAAAAAGACAAACTCACAGCAAGTAGATAAGTTTCACTTTGCTTGGACCGCAGAAAATTGATAACGGACACTAGAGGGTGCTAAAAGCAAGCAAAACTGCCTGGCCAATTCAAATTCAAAGATACTTCATTAATCCCAGAGGGAAATTAGTATCCCTTTACTTGAGTTTCCACAGATTTAATACCCTGCCAATTGATTTTAAGTCTAAATGATTGCACTGTAACCCACTCTTGTTATCATCAGAAACACAGCACTATGTGCAAAAGCTCTAAAGAAAGCAGGAGACGGAGACTCCTCACCCTACAGAGAAAACTTGTTTGGCCGTTGGGTTCCTTTCATCAGGACCTCAGGTTACTGCGGCAATAAGCCGCAGGGCTACGGTCGCGTTGTAGAAACAAAACAGAAGGATGAGTAACTTCATTCATCATCTGTAATATTCCGTGTTTGCGGTCCTTCTATCCTGTGTGGCAAACGTCTGCCTTTACATCCTGGATTCCCCCGCCGTGCCGTCATGAGCTGTGTCAGATCTCACTTGTGCTACCGCTGGAACCTGAGGCAAACACGCGTATACTCAGGCCACCGGCTCCTATAATAAACTAATCACATTGTGTCAACACGGGCCGGGTGTCAGTTTCCTACATGCCTCAAACACTTTCATGGACTAAACTCCCTTTTTGGTGAGATGATTGGCATGTACAGAAACAAATTCATTATTTTGTGTAAATAAACTGGCCCCGGTTTTGTCATTTTCTTGCTTATTTTTCTTTGCCAAGCTGATCTTGAGTTTTTGGGTCAAACTATTGATTTTTTGGGTTTAAAAGATTTCTATTCCATTAACTTTGAAGACAGAATTTGGTGTTTGAAGGTCTGAAGGATCCACAGGTTTCGGTCGGACCTCAGGAGCCTATAGGAGGAAAGTTCAGAGGTTGAAATTCTCTGGCATGTTGTGTTGGTCTCAAATGGTCTTACAGGTTGTGGAGTTGAACTTATTACTGGTCTGCATCACTTTTTTTCTATCCATCTGCAGTCCTGCGTGTCTGGAGCGTAACCTGAGTTCAGGTTTATTACTTCAAACCGCGGGAAGCTTGGCTGCCTTGACTCTTCAGTGGACAATTGAATTAGAGAACACAAAGCACACGTTTACCACTCTCATCCACCCACCGGGGCACCAAAGTCAAATAAAACCCTTCTTCCAGAAATCACTCGGTCACGCAAATGCCAGATACTGGGGCTGTGTGTGTGTTATCCACTTGGTCGCTGCTTTTATTCTATTTACTTTATTTGTGACAGGTGTGTTGTGACTGCATCAGGTTAAAGCTCAGGCACCTCTGTCTTTTAATGTCCTGAGAGAGGACAGTGATGGATCCATAGACTCTCAGCTGAAATGCGAGTAAAGCTTGCCTGCGGGTGGAGACGTTCTCAGGGCAGAGTAGGGCAGAGGCCTCTGTTTGGAGAAGCAGTGTTTTCATTCTGCAGGACTGACATGCTAAGGGCTAGTCTCAACACAGCCAAGACCAAAGTGCATTGCTATTGTCTTAAAAATGCTTCAACTTAAAAATATATATATTAAAAATGTAGCAATTGGAGCATCAAGGGGTCAGGTTTATAACATGAGTCCCATGGCTGTCTTTTTGATGTTATAGATTGTAGTTTTTTTTAAAGGAAGAAATTTATTTTATTTCATCCAACCTGTGGAAATTCTATTTCTCTGAACTGATGCCATTTAGGGAGCAAGTTACAACATGTAAGAGTGATGATTTAGTGATTATATACGACATTTAGTAGAGCAAGACTTCTATACGGCCTCAAGGAGATTCAGGTCCACCATTTGGCGGGTCAGGAGAGGAAAGCTGTGCTCTACCAACACTGTTTGTCAGGGCTGGTATGAAGAACTGGACCCAAATGCAGAGTTTGGCAAAACAAGGTTTTTAGTTAGGCAAAGGCTTATTTAACTAAGGATCAAAAAAATGATCAAAATACAGAACTGAGTCAAAGGACCCGGAGATCATTAGCTTAATGCCCGGGTGGAACGAGATAATTAAAACTAACGAACTGGCAACTGAAAGAGAACAGAAGCTGGTTAAATACACACAAGAACAGCTGGGAGAAATCAGAGTGATGAGGAACAGGAAACAGAACTGAAACAGGAGAGGTGACACCAAAATAAAAC